GCAATTTTCTAGGGTCATGATTTGAGCCAAACATCCTACAACAAGGGGGCAGGAGTCTCCGCTGGTTCCCATCTGTCCACCATACACCACTTACAAAGCATCCAGGGACTCTGATTTCGGTTTCCGTAAATGGCGGGAATGGTAGCAGCTGGAATCATGCAAACACCAACATCCATGCCTCCACAAAACCTTTTGCTCCACCTTGTCTCAATCTGGTTCCTTGCACTGGCCAAATAGTAGCTTCCATTTTCTTGTCCATTATCCCCATATAATCCCTGTATAACCCTTAATAATCCTTAATAATCCTTATATAACCCAACTCCAAAGCCAGACAGGTCGCCATGTCCAGGCGCTTGAACACATCGTCCGGCAGAACAGACGTGAGCTGCTTCGCTGGCTTCGACTGGGCCACCTGAATCATTGGGTGTAGGGCTTCGGGCCAAAATTCTCCACTTTTGAAAACCTCTTTATGACACAGTGTGGTAGGAGATGGGTGTTCCACAATGCAAGTAGCTTAAACCCCACAAGCTCACGTTAGCAGTCTGCCTTTTCTGTTACTGGGGTCCTGGCAATTATGGTTGGGCCCACCGCAAGAATGTATCACAATGATTTTACAATACAATCAGGGAGCCATACTGGTAGCATTTGGGCGGCATGATCAAGTTGGGAACAGGAGTACTCTGAACCCTAAACTCTGTCGGATCTCCCTCTTGAGCGGCACAATACAAGCCCACTCACACTGCCACAGCTCTGCTGTGGAACTCGGATTTATATTTGGGGTATATTGAGGTGATATTGCGGTTATATTGGGGTTATATTGGGGTTATATTGGGGTTAAATTGGGGTTACATTCTGGAAATATTAAGGATTTTGGAATTCTCGCAAATGGAACTCAGAACGGCGCTCTTCACGTCCTAAGCTTGTTCGACGGCCCCCAGACAACAATTCGGGGACCCAATGGACAACCTAGGGCACAACCACATGAACAGCAACCGAATTCAAGTGCATGCTTTGGGGTTTGGAGAGTATATAGACCATTCTGATTCTTCTGAATCTACACAGGCTCTGGCCAGAATGCTACCCTCTGGTCTGGTCCTCTTGACACGAACCTTAGTACAAATGATAAGTATGCAGGCCCATTTGCAATGATACCTTTGCTTCCCTAACAGCGGATCATGTCTCCCAAGGCTGAAATCCCAGACCCTACCAAAAAAAACGCAAATATACCCTCCCCCAAACTAACATGAAAGCCCAAGTGGCTCCATTTTAGCAAGCACAATAGCCTTCAAAGGCCCCCTCATCAAGTTCCATGTGAAGGTGGGTAAAAACAATGTTTGAAGGTCTTCTTCAAAACACTATACCAAAATTATACAAAACTATGATGCACAACGTAAACCCTATAAACCCTTATACAATTTCGGTTCCCATGCAGTTTTCTGTTCTTCTCGCCACTTGATTCTCCACTATAAACATTGGCAGGTATTTTGAAACCTGAACCCTGAACCCAACATACCCCTACAACCCTCTCGTATCCCCCTTAATATCCCCTATAGTAGTCCCCTATATAATCCCCTATATAACCCTCCTTTAAGGAGTTTAGACTATGGCTCACATGATTTTCTGAAAAAAAGTACTTTCGTCGCCTGCAACACCGGTGCAGCGCTCTGCAGACGCCGGCAAGTCGAATTTGCCTCCATCAGCTAGAGGGTTTAGGGTTTAGGGTTTAGAACTTCAGGCCTAACCCCATGGCCCCGGAAGAAAGGCCTTAAACGTTCCAGCAGCTCAAGCTTTTTCAAGGCAGATGCCTCAACAAGTAGAACAAAGTTGTAGGGCGCACTAAACCAGGATTATACCAGGATTGTTCAAGCGTAACTCTCCCACAACCCTACAGCCCAAATGGTATAGTTCAAGTCTAGACTGGAAACCTTCACGCAGACACCCGTTGAGCGATCAAATTCTTTTCAGGCACCACTTTGCATGTGCCAGAAAATCTTTCCACCTAGTTTTCCATTCTGGCAACAAACCTCAACCAGGGTTTTCGTGTTTTAGGGCTTAGCGGAGGGTTCATTTTGTGTAAAGAGGAATGGAATCCTGTAGTCGTCATCAAACCCAGTACTGTAGAAAATTCTCACGGTCTCCCTAAACCCTAAAACCCTAAACCCTAAACCTCCATTGATTCATGCCCTACCCTACAACCTTAAGCCCTCCCTAAACCCTAAATAGCAATTTCCATTTTCTTTTCCATTATCCCTTTATAACGCCAATATAACCCTTATGTTACCCCAATGGGTACCTATATAACCCCAATATAACCCTAACATTACCCTTTATTATCCCAATACCAACAACCAGCAAGTAGAGGGTTTGGCGACGTACGGCACCGTAGCCCCATTCACACCCACTCCCGATGCCTTACCGGAGCTTGGAGCAGCAGAACTATGATTATATATATATATATGTAGTATATGATAATATATATTATAGTATATCATTGTATATTGTGGTATGTTATAGTATATTCTGATTTATTACGGTATATTATAATACACCATGGTATATAGTTCATAACTTAAAAGGGTTTAGGGTTTAGGGCGATCTCAGTACCGCGTTGTTATTAAGGAAGTTCGATGGAGTTTACGGTTTAGGGCTTTGGGCCATAAGGAAACTTGCTATGTACAATATAGCCATATCAGGGTAACTCATGTTAAGCTCCTTACCTGCAACCCGGAAAGCAATGGTTTAGGGTCCGGGGGATGACTAACTTGTGGTTAGTAGAATGGAGAAATGGATCCCTGTAGTAGTCGTCATACCCCCCAAAAAACACCCCTACATTCCATCCCCGACACCATCCACCCTCAGACGCATTGCTCCCAGCCAGCAAAAGGCAAGCCATTGAAAGCTAAGCTGCAGGGCACGATGGTGTTACGGAGTCGCGCGTGACAACGGTTCCGTCAGCTTGGACGTCGAAAGCGGAGCTTGCCGTCTGTTCAGTGGCTTACGGTTCTTAGTTTAGGACTTGGGGTTCAGGGAGGGCTAACCCCTGAATCCCCCCCTTGACCCTCTTAGCTTGAGAAATCTGGGCAGTCTCGTAGATGCTTAGATGCTTAGCATATTGTGCGGCTTTGGGGAAGCCTCGTCAAAAAACGCTTCCTCTGGGTTCCTTCAAAAGGTTGTTTAAATTGTGGTCTTTTTTTGGTGTACACTAAAAATTCAGGGCCACACTTTAACAGGGACCCAAAAAAGGATCTGCGCCACTTGAGCTAGCCAAATGGGCCTTAAAGGGACCTACATGCGTGCCTTAAAGGACCTACATGCGTGGCTAAGGCGACTTCGAAAGCGTCTTCTTGCCAAATCTTTCACGAAATTGAGTAAGGCTCCAAATGGTTGTTTCCACAACTAGGAGGACACCAATACAAATCCCAAAAAATCAATATAACTCTTGTGACAGGAATCCCCGAAAAGGGCCCCCTGATTCTGAGAAACTCCCAAATGTCTTAACAAAGAACAGAAATCTCAAGACCAATCCCTCTACTCTGGAATGGCCGCTACCATATGAACTATAGTCTCAACTCCCTAAAGGGGCTTATATGAGGGATTATATAGGGGAGCATTATAGCGGCTATGAAGGGGGATACTAGGATTTTAGACTATGGCCTATAGCTCATATGTTCGGCGTCGAAGAGGCTGTATGACTGCCTACCTATATCCTGCAACAATAGCACCCCCCCTTTCCATCCATACCTTTCATATTACTATTCCATTAATACCATTGTATTATTCTTGTTGTGACTGTTGCTATTACTACTACTCTGGCTATTCCTATTCATATGACTTCTACTATTACTACTACTGTTGGTATTACTAGCATTAATACTAGTACTAGTACTGATACGATTATTCTTAGTGACGTTGCTGAATGCAATCAAAGTCAAAGTCTGATTTTCAATGTGCAACATAGAGGTTGCTCCCCAAAAGGAGGTCCTGGAACCTTAGGCATAAGGTTTAGGGTTCACGGCTTTAGGGTGATCCTGGGACTCTTGGCATGTATCATGGGATTAATAAAAAATCATCAGGGTCCCACTAGGACTCCTTCCGATATGAATTCAGAAACTCCCAACTTGACACAAAAGCTAATCTTAATCATGTGGACTTTGCCTGCAGGTTCTCGCCAAGGTTGCCGAGAGGGACTACAACATCTACACTCCCGGAAACTAGCATGGAAACCCCAAAAAGGCCCAATAAAGACTACAGTCCTTCTAAAAGGGTACTCTATGGGTTTTCATGTTAGTTTGGGGGAGTGTATCACGCGCAATTCTACGGGATGATCCGGCCTAGCAAATGGATCCCTTCGTGCATCCAAAAGGTATTAAACACACCCCTTTGGAGAGAAAATCATGTTTTTGTATGTGCCCACCCCTATGAACCTCAAACAGAGACCTTAGCCAAAAAATGTAATATAACCCCCATATAATCCCAGCTTCCATTTCATTTTCCATGTTCTTTTCCATTTGATTCTCCATTATGGAGGTAATGTTACCCTTTTGTATCCCCAAATAAAATACAGATCACAAAATTCCAGTCCTGTGGAAGCGCGGAAAAAAAAATGTAGGCACACACGTATTCCTGTCTTGAACGCAGGCCAAGCCAGCTCACGCACCTTCACGACTTCCCCGTTCCCGGTCGTCATGACACCAGAAGTATCACCCCGCATCTCCTGCAGCAGCAAGGGCTTGGGGTGTAGAGTTCAGAGCTTATGGTGGAGGAGCTTGGGCTTGAATTGCATGTTGATTTGGGTGTCCCCTAAACCCTGAATACATGCTTTCCTGCAAAAAAATGTGGAGGTCATGGGACCCCTCTTCGGGATGCCCATTCAATAAGGACCGGGGTTCAGGGTTCAGAGTTAAGGTTTTCAGGCTTACAAACGACCCTGAACTGAATTCGTGGTAAATTCCACATCCCGAGCTTCAACTCAAGTAATACGAGAAGGGAGTGGTAGCTTACTATGTCAGATCCTTTGCCATGTCCACCGCCAAGTAAGACATCACAAACATGCCCGTGAGAAGCAGCACAATCACGGCCGACAGTGCCACGATAATCCTCCGCCAGGAGATGCTTTGGGTGTGGGCACTACGTGAATGCCCCCATCAGCAGGGCGAATGGGCCTCAACAATGGCTAGAACAAGTGTAGTCTGGGGCAAGGGGACGCTGGGTCTCCGTCCTCATGCAGAAGCCTCCTGAGATCCTTCAGCCCCAATATCTTACAGCCCCACCTGCTTAGGGTTTGGCGTTTAGCGTTTAGTGTCCGCTCTCTTACATATGTCCCGCAGTAGAGATGAGTTGCTATAAACAGTTTCTGGTATTAGAAAATTGGTTGCTATTGCTTGGAAGGGAAGGGGGCTCATCCATTGGGTTTACAAAGCCAACAAACATTCTCACCAGGGAATATCGAAAAGCTGCTGGTCTTGGGGTGCCCACGTGTTTCAATCATTTGAAGATCTAAGCACTGATCATACCTTGCGTATGATAAACGATCCGTGCAGAAGTTTCCATGAACAGGGGGACCCTATACATTCCGATATACCGTGGTACTTAATATACTGTAGAAGCACCCGCGAAGGGACCCTAATTTTTGGAAACCTCCATGGGAGTATATGGGTGGTTGTCAAAATTATGGCCCCTTTTTGGTCCCCTATTTTGATACGGCACCTAGTATTTAGGGTACCCAAAAAGGGACCAGAATTTTGACGACCACCCATATCATACGGCGCCTACGAAACCAAAGCTGAAAATCCTCTTGACGTTTGGCAACCTCTGGCTGATGGCCTCCACAGGACAATACCGATATGACTGGGTGATATTGGGAAATTCGGGGTCCCTTTTTGCTGTTCCTAAAACAAGGAGCCGGGTGATATTCTCCTGTAAGCCTGACACACTGAAACCTTAACCTATACCCTAAACCTGAGGGTTTAAGGTTTGAATCGCTGCCTCCGCGGTGTAGTTGGCGTAGTTCAGTGGGCTAACAGAGACATAAGGCAAACTTATCTCATCCGCCAAAAAAAACACCCCCACCCATCCCGTCAAATTACGTCCGACCCCCCAAATGTTGGGGCAAAGTACCACGAGGAAGAGTTAGTGTTGGCGAATGCGACAGGGCATAACATTGAATGAAAAACCTCCCTAAACCCTAAGCCCTAAACCCTAAACCGTAAACCGTAAACCCTAATTCCTGACTGTCCGCTATCTCAAGCTCCTCTTCA